GAAGCGATCGTACTTCATGAATTTATCTGTGTTTGGTAATTTGTCTGCTCATTTGTAAGTAAAACATGCAAAGCACAAGAAAACCATCCCTCCGCACAAATTGCACAGGTCTGTGTGGCAACTCCGGACGGATCTGCTTACATATGGAAACATCGAAATCGATAGTACGTCATGTGTTTATATGCTTTTGATATTGTGTCTGCTCATTCCTACTTGAAAACAAGCGAACCACAAAAAACCAGCAGTTTCGCACACGTTGCGCAGGTATGCGATATGTGGCACATCCTAACACACTTGCTTACATATGGTAACTCTGACAACAATATTACTTCATGCGTTTATCTGCTTTTGATAACTTTCCTTCCCATACCTGTTTTAAAGGCAAGCAAGCCACAACTAACACAACGATTCATACAAGTCGCGCAAGTTTGCAACTCACAGGCAAAACAAGTTTGCAATTGCTTGAATATAAGAAGTCAGCGCGTATTTTTTATACACATATATATATATACACATCATGTCTGCCTACAAGAAAAGACATTTCAAACAAACAAAACAACAATGCTGTGTAACTGAATATTTTGTACGTGCATAGGGAAAACCATAGGACAAAGCTAAAACAGCACTGTGTGCTCTTGATGGTTCAAATGAACTATGTCGTCTGCGCCTCAGTGGAACGTCATTTTATTGATAATGAACCACCCATAGCAACAGGGGCAATCCGCGTTCCCCTCCCCTAATGATAGTATCACCCACACTACTACGAATATTACGACTACTACGACTACGACTACGACTACGACTACGACTACGACTACGACTACGACGACTACTACTACTACTACTACTACTACTACTACTACGACCACTACGACCACTACGACCACTACTACAACAACTACTACTACTACTACTACTACTACTACTACTACTACTACTACTACTACTACTACTTTTACGACAAACACTATTACTGCTGCTACCACTACTGCTGCTACGACTTCTATTACTACTGCTACCACGACTACTACTACTACTACTCCTCCTCCGACTACTACCAATTTTGCTACTACCGCTACTACAAGCAGTACTCATGACATTCCAGCTTTAAGAATTAATACTACTAAACATGCGAAGACTGAGATTGCTCATGATAACGTTATAAACTGGCATTACCATTATTACTATTTTTGCGTAGTGGTAGTGAGGAGAAGAAACCTAGCAGTAAAAATATGGATGGTGATCGCAATACTAACAATACTGCAATGCGTAACAATGCCACCAGTTTTGCGAATCTGACTAAACATACTACTACGAACCATACTACGAATGGGGATATGCAGACGACGAAAAGCAACAACAGTACGAGTGCGAACTAGAAGACGTGACGAGCACAACGAGGCACGAGGGCGGCATGTCACAGGCGTGCGTGGCCACAAGCTCTTGGACCCGCCGCGCCGCGGCGCCCGCCGGGGGAGGCGGAGGCGGAGGAAGCACAGAAAAGGGGGCCGGGGGCGGAGGAGGAGGAGGAGGAGGAAGGGGAGAAGGAGGAGGAGGACCGGGGGGAAGGGGGAGGAGTAGGAGGAGGAGGAAGAAGGGGAGGAGGAGGAGGAGGAGGAGGAGGAGGAGGAGGAGGAGGAGGAGGAGGATGACCAGGGGGAAGGCAGGGGGGTAGGCCCTCCGCTCCTCGCCCCATGTCCGGAGGCGCGCGCAGGGGAGGCCCCCGGAAGGGAGGCCTCGGCTCCGCGTGGCCCACCCGCTGGGCTCTCTGTGGGCCCGGGGCGGCCTGTGCGTGACTTTTCGGGGACAGCGAGGCAGGCGCGGGCACGGCCTCGGCGGCGCGTCTCTCGTCTCGCCCTCGCTCGGACGTCCGGGCCAGGCACACACCGGGGGCCTTCCTCAGGGCCTGCTCTTCGCCCTGGTCCCGGGGCCCGTGGACAGAGGCCTCCCAGGCAGGGTCGGAGTGGATGGGGTCGGAGGATCTCGCCGCATCGCCGATGCATCGCCGCTGCATCACCGATGCATCGGCGGTGCAGCGGCGATGCATCGCCGAGGTCGGTCTGTGCCGTCAGCGTGGAAAAAATCGGGCTCCACATCGATCCGCATATCGCCGATGCATCGGCGATGCGGCGCGGAGGAAAAGGAGGAGAAGGAGAAGGAGGAGGAGGAAGAGCAGGAGTACAAGGATCTCACCCAACTATGAGAGGCCTCGCCAACCTCCCCCGGCCCGCCCACTTCTTTATTTGTCCTTGCCCTCTCCCCCTCCCTCGCTTCTCTCCTCCTCCCCCTTTTGTAGGACGGGTACGGGTACGTGTGTGTGTGTGTGTGTGTGTGTGTGTGTATGCGCGTTGTGTGCGCGTTGTGTGTGTGTGTGGGTGTGTGGGTGTGTGGGTGTGCTTGTGGTTGGGGGGAGGGCGGGGGACGCAGCTGCGGTGGCAGCCATTGCTGTAAGGCTCCCGCAGCGCACGTGCGAAGGAGGGTCGGCGGAGGTGGAGAGTATATTGGGGCACGGGAGGAGGTTGTGGTGGAACAGAAGGCTTCAAGGCAAGCGTTCGCTGCAACCTGCAGTGGATCGATCACCCTGATGTCGCGGCGCATGCTCGAGCGCAGCGGCGCCCGCGACGCTATAGGTACGACATCTCTCGGTTGATTGCGTGTGTGGGAGGCCGTTTCTCCCTGCCTTGTCGTGGGGACGGGGAGTTGGAGGGAGTGCGATGAGGGGATGGATGAGGGACCGATCACCTAGTGTTGCGGTGTGTGTTCGAGCGCAGCGGCGCCCGAGACGAACTGCGACTGAATTTAGCCCCGCTCTTCGGTCCGCTTCGCCTACATTTCCTGACCGTGGTGGGCCCCTTTGGTATGTGGCCACCAGGGCAGACCATGGAGCCGGCAGCTGTCAGTTGATTGCGTGTCTGGGAGGCTGTTTTTCACTGCCACTACTTAGTCGTGGTGCCTGAGGCGTAGAGGGGGAGGTTTGTATGAGCAGTTGTGGAGGCAGTGGGGGAGGCAGAGATGGCATTCACTGTGGGCGCCCGGTTGCTTCCTTTGCAGCTTGTGGACCGAACACTTTGACATTGTGTGCATGTTCCAGCGCAACGACTTTCCGAGACAATCCGCAGCTGAGTTAGCCCCGCTGCCCGGTCCGTTCCACCTCCATTGACCATGGAGTTGGCATCTCTCAGTTGCATTGCGTGCGTGGGAAGCAGTTTCTTTCTGCCATCGGTTTTTGTTCCCGAGACGTAGGGAGGGACATGGCGGATGGTTATGGGGGGATTGGAGGTTGGGGTAGGGGAGTCGACGGCAGCGTGTTGACCGCCACGGCTATACTCACCGAGTTTCTGAGCATCATCTTGATCAAGATACATTTATAGTACTGTTGACTGCCTCAGGCCAGCCAGACGCTTTGGCCAGCCTGACAATGGGGACGTAGGCTTTCGATTACTGAGGGGGGAGGGCAGATCTGTGGAGGCGGAGGAGGGTGAACTCGCCACGCATCTCATCTTCACTTTAGGCACGCGACGTTGCCACCTTAGGAACATCGGTACATAGGTCCCTGCTGCAGCTCGAGCTTACGACACTGCCCTCTGTGAGGGCCCTTGGCTGGGGAGTGAGGGACTGGATAGAGTTGGCGTGGGGGTGTAAGGAGAGGGGCTTTACCGCCTGGCTGGCACATACCCTGTGCCCTTGCGGGCTCTCGACCTTTTTCTATTTCCTCACGCCTCTTTTTTCAAGCTGCGACAGCCATGCGATATTAGCTTATTCTGTGAGGCCTCGAACTGTTGTTATTCCGACGCATCAAATCGCAACAAACTCTCGCTCAATGTATGGCCCAATGTCAAAAAGGAGTAGGGGGATGAGGAGGATGAGGTGGATAAGGAGGATGAGGAGGAGGAGGAACAGAGAGGAAGAGGAGGCGGAGGGGGAGGAGGAGGAGGAGGAGGAGGAGGAGCAGGAGGAGGAGGAGGAGGAGGAGGAGGAGGAGGAGGAGGAAGGGGAGGAGAAGAAGGAGGAGGAAGAGGCGAAGGAGGAGGGGGAGGGGCGAAGGAATAGGAGGAGGAGTAGGAGTAGGAGGAGGGGGAGGAGTGGGAGGAGGAGGGGGGAGGAGGACAAAGGAGGAGGAGGAGGAGGAGGAGGAGGAGGAGGAGGAGGACGAGGAGGAGGAGGAAGAGGAGGATGAAGAAGAGGAGGATGAGGAGAAGGAGGAGAATGAGGAAGAGGGAGGAAGAGGAGGAGGAGGAGGAGGAGGAGGAGGAGGAGGAGGAGGAGGAGGAGGAGGAGGAGGAGGATGAGGAGGAGGAGAAGGAGGGGGAGGAGGACGGAGAGGAGGAGAAGGAGGAGGAGGAGGGAGCAGTAGGAGGAGCAGTAGGAGGAGGAGAGGAGGAGGAGGAGGAGGAGGAGGAGGAAACAGGAGGAGGAGGAGGAGGAAGAAGAGGAGGAGGAGGAGGAGGAGGAGGGAGAGACGGACCATGCGGAGAAGGAGGAAGAGGAGCAGGTGGAGCAGGAGGCGGAGGCGGAGGCGGAGGCGGAGGCGGGAGGAGGAGGAGGAGGAGGAGGAGGAGGAGGAGGAGGAGGAGGAGAGGAGGAGGAGGAGGAGGAGGAGGAGGAGGAGGAGGAGGAGGAGGAGGGGAGGAGGAGGAGGAGGAGGGAGGAGGAGGAGGATGAGGAGGAGGAGGAGGAGGAGGAGGAGGAGGAGGAGGAGGAGGAGGAGGAGAAGCAGGCGGAGGAGGAGGAGGAGGAGGGGGAGGAGGAGGAGGAGGAGGGAGGAGGAGCAGGCGGAGGAGGAAGGGGGAGGAGGAGGAGGGGCAGAAGGAGGAGGAGGAGGGCGAGGAGGATGAGGAGGAAGAGAAGGAGGATGAGAGGGAGGAGGAAGAGAAGGAGCAGGAGGGCGAGGGGGATGAGGAGGAGAAGGAGGAGGAGAGGGAGGAGAAGGAGGAGGACACAATTCCTCCCAGGACCTACTTGCCTCGCGGCGAGCTGGCGCCGCGGGGCGGGCACCTCTCCTGGGGCATCGCCGACCGGAACACCTCTGGCGGCGTGATTGAGTTTCGCCTCCTGCGGGGGGGGCTGCGCGGGCCGTCCCGCGAGTCGCTCGAGGGGGCGGGGAGGGGGGCCAGGGCGGCACAACGAGAATGTAAGGTATCCTTGAGATCCTGGCGTCTCAACTTCTTCGAGCCAGAAACTTTCATATTTTTTCGGGCCCGGGGGTCCTCTCAGATAGATCCGGCCGAAAGAATGGCGCAGAGAGATGGTGCCCATGGCTCCAGACGTGATTGTTCACGATGCTGCAGGTTTTTCGATTCGTCGGATCCCAGGGTTGAGAAACAGCATGAGAAACATGGTAAGCATCGGGGCGACAATTCTTGTCGTCGTCTTCGGCCTCTGGTCGGGGGCGGCCAAGAGGGGGGTGTCGAAGAGGGGGGGGGTGCAAATCATGACCGGCGGCATGTGCGCGGCCCAGCGGGGGGGCCAGGGACGTAATGAAATCAGAAGAGGCGCCACGAGATCTGGGGAAATAGCATTTTACACCCTTACCCTATACTCAGAGCCAGTCTGGGGGAGGGGTTGAAAACCCTTGAGGGGGGCAGGCGGAGCTGAGCCCGAAAGGGCTGGCAGGCACATTACAACAACTGTCGATCGATGCTGACGTGACGATCGTTTCGCACCAGAGCGCGGGCTGATGGGGCTTCCAACCCCAGGATTCTTCAAGAAAAAGCGAGGCGGCCCGAGCTGGCTGCCTGAGCGCAGCTAAGACCGAGGCCAGCTTCCTGAGCATACGACCTAGGTCACAAACCACAAACCCTTTTCGACCCCTCCCCAAAGGGAGGGTGCGGTGGGGCCGACTTGAGCCCAGAGGGGGCAGAAAGGGACGGAGGGGGGAAAGGGCGGTTAACAGACTACGACGGGTAGTGTAAAGTGAAATTCAAGAACAATTATTTACACCCTTACCCTATACTCAAAGCCAGTCTGGGGGAGGGGTTGAAAACCCTTGAGGGGGGCAGGCGGAGCCGGGCCCGAAAGGGCTGGCAGGCACATTACAACAACTGTCGATCGATGCTGACGTGACGATCGTTTCACACCAGAGCGCGGGCTGATGGGGCTTCCAACCCCAGAATTCTTCAAGAAAAAGCGAGGCGGCCCGAGCTGGCTGCCTGAGCGCAGCTAAGACCGAGGCCAGCTTCCTGAGCATACGACCTAGGTCGCAAACCACAGAACTTTTTCGACCCCTCCCAGCCGACCCCACTGGGCCACTGGCCAAAAGCCTTCAAGAGAAAACTGCCGAGCACGGGGAGACACGGGCGGGTGGGAGAGCGAGGCAGAGAAACATTTACCTGCTGGTTCAAAAAACCACGGCCCCCCCCCAAGGACCCCCCTCACCAGACTTGGCTCGATATTCGTTAGAGGGGAGAAGGGAGCTGGCCTGCGTCGACCCGTACATGCGGACAGGCACCTCACGGTCACGGGCGCTCGCGAGCGCCCCGACGAGGCGCCTGCCGAGCGGCGTCCCCGCGCCTGGCCCACGCACGACGGCGTCGTGCACCGCCTATCGTGGGCGGCGCCAGAAAGCGCAGCCCTGCTTGATCTGCGTGCCGTCTGACTCGCTGAGCTTCTCCACCGGCGCGTGGCACTTGGGGCGCCGCTGGAGGCCCGCAGTGGAGGCCTAGCGGCCCCGCCTACGCGCCGCCTCCAGGTCGCCGCTCAGCGCCACGAAGCGTGCTGCCGCAGCGTGGCGCATGCCGTGCGGCGGCCCCATGGTCTCCAGGCCCACCGCCTTCAGCGTCTTCATCCAGACCCTGCGGAAGCTCGGCTGGGTGAAGAGGAAGACCTGGTCATCAGGCTCCCGATCCTGGACCAGCACCTTCATCAAGAGCCTCGAAAGCGGCCACTCCTGCACGGCGCCCTGGTTGGCGCCCGTCTTGGTCTTCTGGCCCATCAAGCGGTCGCCGAGCTTGAGGCCCACACCGCCGTCGGGGGTGAAGCTGACGTGCTTGGCTCGCAGCATCTCCCAGTCCTGCTCTCGAAGCCACCCGTCCAACTGCACGATGCAGGCACTCGCCTCCAGCAGGTGGCCCATCTCCAGCATCCTCGCGATGATCACGCCCATCGCCTGGAAAGGGATCGGGTGGCCCTTGCCCCCGAACTGCGTGCGCTCCCACGACTTCAGCGCTCGATGCGCCGTCGGGAGTTTCCCTCGATGGTCCTCGAAGATGTGCATGCAACCATTGAAATCGAGGGAGGCCTTCATGTAGTTGTCGCCCTCAGGTAGCAGAGGTCACTGATGTAGTTCCCCAGCGCGCGGTCCCTCTGCTCCAAGGTCGTGAACGGCACCTCCCCACGTTTGCAGTCAACGAGGAAGGCCCTGAACTCCCGCTCGTAGACAACATTGGTGGAGTCGTCGACGGCGTGGGCCACCAACCTGTTGTTCCTGCGAGGGCGGTCCTGCTTGGCCTGCTGCCAGGCGCGTGCGCCGCGCTTCTGCAGCGGCGGCGCAGACGCCCCCCTCCGCGCACCGTTGGCCACATGCAGCATCACCGCCAGCACGACCCAGAGGGACAGCCTGCCGCTGCTCCTCGCAGCCGAACCAGCCTCTCCGCCCGCGGCGGCCCAGCAGGACGCCCTGCAGCTGCTTCTCGCAGTCGCCGTGGCTCCCGATGTGGTAGCAGTGGCAACCCACGTCGCCGAGGTAGACGCCCGCGGCCGCCACGTTCTCGCTTGGGAGGCCGAGGCCTCCCTGCTGAGAAGGTAGTCGAGCCCCAGACGCACCGCCACGGTCCCGCGGGTCACCGCCGCCGTTCCAGCACCTGCAGCAGCGGCCGCACCGCCTTGGGCGTCGTCCTCATCCTGTGCGCCTGCTTGGTCTCGTCCGCCGCCCCGATGTCGACGCCTCTGCTCGGGCCATCCGCCATGATCCACTGGCTGGGCACCCGCCGGTAGTGGCCCCTGATGCCCGGCGCACGCGCGATGCCACAGGCCACTCGCGCCAGCCTCAAGAGCGACGTCGCCGACGAGCGCCCCTTTTGCAGGGCGCCCATGGAGACAACAGAGTCCGTATCACCACTCGCTTGTGCCAGCATCTCGAAGATCTCGCCAGATGCCGCAGCGCGCTGACCACGCACCTCAGCTCCAGCACGTTGTTGTGCTCCTCCCCCTCCCAGCGCCCCCTGAAGAGCTCGTGCCACCTCGACTCGTCGACCCAGGAGGCGCCGATGGGCATCACCTGGCCCCTGCTCCGCACCACCCGAGGTCGACCCCGCCGAAGCCGCACCTGCGCCCCCTTCGGCGCCTCGCTCCAGGCGTAGTCGAGCTGCTCCAACCTCGCGGCATAGCGCTCCAGAAAGGCGTCCCCGTAGCTGACGGCGACGCCCGAGGTCAGCGGGAAGTCGCCCCACAGCCCGTCGCTCTCCACGAGCCTCGTCAGGTTGGTCAGCACCACCAGCTCGCCCACCTCCAGGGAGAAGACGCCCTCCACCCTGGTAAGCCTGTCCCAGGGGGCCCACTCCAGCACCTTCAGCGCGACGGGCCCCAAGATAATGAAGCCGAGCCCCTCGCGGACCGCGAGCCTGGCGACCTCGATGACCACCTGCGCGATGTAGTTGTCCTCGTCGACCTTGCGCTGCAACCCCTCGCTGAGCCCCTCGTAACCCCAGGGCGTGCGTGAGTCCCTGTAGTAGTCGTCTGAGAAGGTGTCCAGGAACAAAGTAAGGTGGCAGATCCAATACCACCGCCTCTGCAGACGGCTGAAAAGACGCTCTACCACCGCCACGTCCATCAGCTCCTCCATACGCACGCCCTCCATCCAAGCGCTCACCTGGTGCCCGAGGTCCCCCTTCAGGTCCAGCAAGCCCTGTTGCAGCGTAAGTATACCAGGACGTCCTTCGCTCGGGTGCATCATCTCGTCCTCCTCCAGGCCCTCCTTGCTTACCTCGTCCTCTATCTCCGAGTGCGTCTCCCCTACTCGAATTTGCCACACCTGCTCGGCCCCTCTGTCCAACTCGTCCCTGATCTCCTCCACGCATGACTTCGTCGCGACCGCTCCGAAGCCCTCGTCGCTCGCGTCGGTCATGTAGACCGCCGTGTGCCAGTCCAACTCCAGGTTCGCCTCGAAGAAGATGGCCAGAGACGCCAGAGCCTTCAACTCCTCCAACACGGCGACGGGGAGACGCTGCGGCTTCTCGGCTTCCTCGTCCGTAAAGGCCCCGACCCATCGATAGCAGGCGTCCAGGATCGCAAAGGCAGGTCGGCAAACCAACATCGCCCACGCCCAGCAGCCCACCTCCGTGGCCAGTTCCCGCGGTCGAACGGACCGAGCCACAGCAATCGCCTCGGTGCAGATGATCAGCTCCTTCATCTTCTCGGGGTAGACCTTCAACGTATAGGGCCGTCCAAATATGGTAAGTCCAGGCCCTCGTCGCAGTCCTTCCCCCGCCTCCTCCTTGTGCGCGGCGAGCCCCTTCGCATTCAGATAACTCCGCGCGTGGCCCTTGGTGACCTCGAGATCTACGTCCTCCCCATCCTTCGCAAGCTTCAAGCCTATGTAGTCGTCGATGTCCAATAAGAGAAGGAGCTCTGCCCTGGCGAAGCTCGGGCACGCCCTGCCCAAAGTGATCTGCTCCGTGACCAATCCTTCCATAGACTCGAAGCAGTCCACAAGGGCGGAGTGGGCCAAGAAGACTGCCCAAGCAGCCCCCCTCACGGGCGCGACCGACCCCACTCCCGCGGCACCCGCGGGCGGGGCTGGTAGCTCCACCCCCGCGTCCATCGCAAAGGCGTGGGGCTCCTCGGGCAAGACCCCCATCCAGCGTGAAGTACTCCGCTAGCCCGCCCGACCACCTCAACTTGTAGAACCAGTCTGGCACTTCCCCCTGGAAACTGCCCACTCGGCCCTTCAAGATGTCGTTCGTCAGCTCCAGCTCGGACAAGGCAGAAGGCGACCCCAGTGGAGTCCACGGTGGCCGCCGAAAAAGCAGGTTCACCTTCCGAGCGTCCCAGATGAGGCGGGACTTGATCACGTCCCGCCCGTTCTCGCTCACATTCATGGCCACGCAGAAGAGGCCCACGGTGTGCTTCGCCTCCTTGACGTACTGGACCATGCCTGCCCGCGTCATCCTCATGGCCACGGTGAGCCTGGCATGGCGATCCTTCCAACCGGGATCGGAGTAGCTCATGATGCCGTCGTATCTCTCCCAGTACACCTCCTTCGGGCCCTCCAGCATCCGACTCTCGAAACGCTCTAGGCACGGCGCCGCGGTGGTCGAGAGGTCCGTCAGAGGCAGGCCCGCGGCCCCTGGAGGCGGCAACGAAACCTGGTCCGCCACCATCCTGCAGAGGTCGCCCTGCTTGGCAAAAGTCGTAGAAGATGTAGCCCGCTTGTGGCCGCATCCTCCGTCCGCTGCGCAGCCCGAGCTGTCGGACCCCCGCAGACGGCGAAGCACCGCCTTGCCGTCGCTGATGCCGCCCCACGCCCCGAGAGAGGCGTGGCGATCCCAGATGTCGCAGACCACCTTGCGCTGGAGCCCAGTCGCGTCCCCCCGCGAGCTCGGGGCAGTCGACCCATCGTCTGCCCCAACACGCCCAGCTACCAGAGACCGTAGAGCCCGAACCGTCCGACAGGTACGCACCCAGGTTAGCCTCAGCTGCTCCGTCGTGAAGCCCGAACTCGAAGCCCTCGTGGCCAGGGGCCCCGTAGGAGAAGGCAAACTCCGAAGAGGGTCCCGCTCCCTGAAGTCCATCATCATCTGGCCGCCGTAAGGGGAACACCTGCTCACGTGAGGCACGACGAAGGTTGAGCGCACTGGTGTGGTTCAGGTCCGAGGCATACAAGACACGGCCCGAACGCAAGAGGCCCCGCCCCCCAGCGTCCACCGGGTAGGCGAGGCTCAGCGCGGCGAGCCCGAGGCAGCCCCTCCTCCTGCTCCACCCTCGACCTGGCGATCTCCCCGCTGACGAAACCCACGCAGCACATCCGCCGGAGTTAGCACAGCAGTGCGAGACTTGCCCAAGGGTCGCCACTCCAAAACGAACCCTCGGGCCACCCCTATTCGTCATCCTTGGGCGCCGCGTCCCGCACCGACGTCAGGTGCTTCTGGATATGCGCCCTCTTCCGCAACTTGTCCGTCACCTCCTCGTCCGCGAGAGTGTCCTCGATGGTGTCCTGCGAAGTCAGCCTCAAGCACTCCTCGCCCAGCGACCAGTCCACCTTGGACTTCCACTTCGCCCCGCTCGCATTGCGGGGCCTCTTCCAATCGTGCTCGCATGTCGCGCCCTCGTAGGCCTTCATGGTCGCGTACATCCTGCGGCAACTCAGCTCGCTGGCCTGAGAGTTGACCAGCCCCTTGAAGTCGCTCGAAACCGTCATGCGGTCCAGTGTCATGGCCAGCACCAGCATCTCGTTGGCGATGGGGGCCTCGGAAAGCTCCTTACTCCTCAGCCATTCTTGCACCTCGAGCTTCGCAGAGCGGTCCCCCCTGTAGACCTTGCTCAGCACTGTCGGGGCCGCCCGGGTCCTGATGCCCCCCACACGCATGTTGGGGATGTGCTCGTAGCTCTTTAAGGTCTGCAGGAGGGCGCCCCTGGGATTCTTACTCTCCATTTCTAGCTGGGCGATCGTGTCCGAAACCGAGCCTGAACCTGGAGACGATGGCAGTCGCTCCCAGTCCGAACCAGAGGCAGACCTTCCAGCTTCACGTCCGCTGCCTCTCGTGCCGCGGTCAGAGTCGCTCTTCACCAACTCCTCATGCTCGTTCAACTTCGCAATGAACTGGTCCAACTGCGCGGTCGTCGGCGGACCCGATGGGCCCTCCCGTAGCCTTGCTCGGAGGTTCCGCCTTGTCCTTCTTCAGCGCCTCGGCGACCGCCATCAGCCCAGCCCGTAGTTCATCCTGTCCTCGCTGCAGCTCCGCGTAGAGACCCTTCGCGTCGGGCTCGTCGTCCGAGTCGGGCACCGCGGTGCCCATGATCAGCTCCCCGTCGGACATGTCTGACTTCGAGTCGGAGTCCGAGAGGCCCTGCCACTGGCGGAAGATGTAGTTCAGCAACCACACACCGAAGATCACACCCCCGACCGCCATCAGCACAGCCTCCAACTCTCCCGACTCCCAGGCCTCCAGCAGGAGGCCCCAGTAGTCGGACACCTCTTCCGCCGTCTCCTTCGCGGCCGCCGCCGCTTCGAACACCCTGTGGAAGAGCGGCCCCAGGTGGAAGTACCTCCAGATGCGCCAGGCGGCGAAAGCCCCACCAGCGAGCCCCCCCCCACGAACGGTGGAGCCACCCGTAGCAGACCACGTTGGAGCATATAGCCCACACCCAGTGCACGAGGCCCGCCTTCTTCGAGGTCTTCCGCTTCCCGCCCAACTTCCAGAAGCCCTTCTTCTTGTCGGCGGCCTTCGCCACCTTGGCGTTCTCAGCGTCCAGCTCCTTCCGCGCGATCAGCCGCGAGGAGGCCGCCAGCACCATGTCCCGCGTCTCGTCGTTCAGCCCTGGGAACGCCGTCCACTGGCTGATGCCACGTGGCGGCTTGCTGCGCACCGACTGCTTATCCTTCAGACAGATGATCTGCACCCTGAGCGACGGGTCCACGCATGTCCACGTCTGGTCGCTGGCTTTCCCGACCCGCTCGACCAACGGCATGACCGCGCCCGCGCTCTGCCCCTTGGGCAGGTAGTAGATCCTGTTCCTCTGGGCCCAGCCCCCCATGACGAGCGGGCTGCTCCCGGCGATCTTGATCTCCTCCGCCGCGTCGACGAACTCGACCTCCTCGCTCGAGGCGGTGTCTTGCGCCTCAGTCTCCTCGGCGTCGTCCTCGCCCTCGCTCTCGAAGCGGAGGCCGAGGAAGTCCAGGACCTGGTCCTGGCTGAACCTGCCCCCCACGGCCAGGGCCTCCTCCTGGAGGTCGCCCGAGAGGCCCAGGAGCGCCAGCAGCGCGCCCGCGAGCGCGCAAGGCCGCGGAATGGCGCCGCGGTGGGAGGCCGTGCCCAGGCACGACCGCAGAGGGGCCCGCCTGCGGACCTCGCCCGTGCCGACTTGAGCCCAGAGGGGGCAGAAAGGGGCGGAGGGGGGAAAGGGCGGCTAACAGACTACGACGGGTAGTGTAAAATAAACTTCAAGAACAACTAGGCCCCCGCCATGATACCCCCCCCCCCCCCTAGTCATCACCCCCCTCTTTTCCGCCCCCGATCTGGGGGCCTTCGCTGGCCCCAGGGGCCGTCCAAGCACTTCTGCGCCGGCGGCCAGGCAGAGGGCGACGGCGCTCGCGGTGCGGCGCGCAGCGGGGCAGGCGCTCCGCGAGTTGCGCCACCACGCAGGAATGGGGGTAATGAAAGAGGACGGCGGGGCGACCGACGGCCGAGGAGGAGGAGGAGGAGGAGGAGGAGGAGGTGGTGGTGGTGGTGCTCAGCATCTGGTCTCGTCTGCATCTAATAGAAAATAATGCAATGACCGCTGCGCGCATAGGGTATCGACCCCAGTCGTAAAAATTCACGCGGCACTCCCCCCAATGACTGGATATCCAAATCAGGGGACACCATGGATACCGTTAGGGTCGAGAGGCCTAACGCACATCCAGGCACGTGAAATAATATTAGCACGATCGGGGGGTAGACAATCCGAATCCCACGAAAGCGCTAAAGAGTGCCGTATTGCAAAGTACGGGGATGTTGCAGGCTTCACGAACAAACTACAAGCAGATGAGGAGAATGAGGGGGAAAACATAAAGGGGGCGGGCTCGCAAGGTTCTCCGCGAAGCCGAAGCCGACGCAGAAAACAAAGTACAGGGGGTACTTGGTACGGCCAAGTCATTGACACCTGGCAACACGAAGACGCCGAAGACAAAGAACAAGCGGTACGTCATGAGACAAGGTCATTGGCACCTAGGAGCACGATGATGCCGAAACCACCGCACAGGGAGTACTTGTTATGAGCTCGCTGCACACACCGAGGAAGGACAGGCAAATCTGCGTGAGCTTGTCGCCATGGGTGGGGGAGTGCCGGGATAGTATGTATGGGAGTGTGAAGGAGGGCGCTGGTTAGGGAAGAACACACATTCCTGTAGCCGCACAGGGTGTCTGGATGGACCTGTGCCAGGGCGGCTAGGAGGAGGAGGAGGAGGAGGAGGAGGAGGAGGAGGAGGAGGAGGAGGAGGAGGAGGAGGAGGAGGAGGAGGAGGAGGAGAAGGAGGAGGAGGAGGAGGAGGAGGAGGACCGTCCAAGCACGATCCGGTACGAAAGGCAGATCCCCGGGAGGTGGTCCCGAGCTCCGGGGACGCCGCATCGGAAAAAGCAACAAGCTCATCACCAAAACATCGGGGGTGCTCCCGCTCCAGCTCCTGCTGGGTCCTGGGCTTGGGGCTGCCGAGGGTGTCTTCGGTCTCGCCCACACTCTCCCCGCCGGCGACGAGGAGCAAGACCGGTGTCCCAGCCCGTCCGCGGCTGCTTTTGCTCCTGCTCCTGGCCCCGCTCCTGCTCCCAATCTTGATTCCGGTGCCGCCCACTGCTGCTGATGCTCCTTCTCCTCTTGTTTTTTCTCCTCCATCTCCTCCGTGCCGCACTACCAGACGCACTGTTAGGGCGAGCCCGTCACCGTTTGCGGTATTGAAACTTGAGGCTGTCACACACAGGTGGAGGTCGACTTGCCGGTAAAACTGATCTCGGCTTGGCGCCGCGCAAACTCGTCCTGAGCAACCCGACGGCTCAAAGGATGAGGGGCGAATCGTTGTCACAATGGGGCCATCGCCTTGGCGCCGCGCGCGCTCGTTTTTAAGCAAGTGGAGCAGTTACACGATAGGCGGCGCGCCTGGGGGGTAACTAAGTGAGAAGGGGCGGGCCTTCTCAGAAGGCTCGGAAGTCCCCCAGCCTTCTGAGAAGTTTTCTAAATCTTCCCCGAAGACAGAACAAAAACTTCTCAGAAGGCGCGAGGGCCTCTGAGAAGTCCCGCCGCCTTCTGAGAAGGCATTCTCCTTCTCACTTCCCCCCTTCGCTCGCCGCCGACACGAATGGGGAGCGCAGCTTTTTCAAAATGGGCCCAGGCGCCACGCACACTTTATCCTAAACTACAATAGAGTGGCGCCAGTGCACCGTAATTACCATGAGTGGACTTGCCTCAAGGCCCGCTCACACGCGGTACGGTTCATAATTTGAAGGGGCCCCAGGACACACGAATAAATGCACACACATAAAAAGATTCCCCATATTTTCTGATATGTTCCGGGTTTCTGTCTTCCCCTCCACTTCCCATATTTTCCCATATTTTCGCGGGAATCGACGATGAATTGTGCCTGTGTGCTTTTTCCCCTCCTGATTCAAGGCCCGCTCAAACGCGGTACGGTTCATCATTTTCGGCCCTGGAAATCAAGAAGCTGCGCACTGTACCATCCCTGGGCCGATGATTCACGACACCTCAGGAGCCGCCAGTGCGGTACGGTGCGCTCGTCCGCAGATACAGGCAAGCCAACAGTTACACACATGGAGGACGGCCCCTGTTCAAGATGGGGCTCCCGCCTGGGCGCCGCGCACACTCGTCTCAAGACGCATTCAGGAGTCACACATGTGGATGACGGTCCCTTTCAACACGATGCTCCCGCCTGAAACTTCCACGGACATGGCTGACACAAGTGCAGGCATTCCCGGCAGCACGGCAATGTAACTACACCACCGCGGGCATCGCCAGTCAGGGTGGCGTGCGGCTCCTCCTCCTCGGAGGAAAGGCTCTCGCCTTGGACGTCGTCAGGCTTCAGGACTCGGACCCCGCTCGTGTGCGGCAGCGGCGCGGATGGAGGGCGGCCCCTCTTCCGAGCCGGGCCGTCGCTCGGCACCTCCTGGAGCTGCACAGCCCCACCTCGTCGCGTTCCTCTCGAAGGAGGCGTCAGACTCGGGCTCGCGGGACTTCCCAGCCTTCTGAGAAGGTCCGCCCCCTCTCGCTCCTCCTCCTCCTCCTCCTCCTCCTCCTCCGCCTCCTCCTCCTCCTCCTCCTCCTCCTCCTCCTCCTCCTCCTCCGCCTCCTCCTCCTCCTCCTCCTCTGCTCCGAGGCCACCCGCGGAGGCCCGGGAGGCGTCCGACTCGGGTTCGGTTGGGCCTGACGGGGCCGTCATGTGAACGACGAGACCCAACCCGAACTTTGGCGCAGACTCCCGCTGCAGACGTTCCACGAGAAACGGACCGTCAGGATCCAGGGCGCGCTCGCCGACGAGCGCTGGCAAAGCCGACTTCTGGCTCACTCGAATCTTACTGGGGAAGCCAAAAGGTACCGACACCGCTACTCCCCGGTCCTCGCCCCGGGTGCGTTCTGACCAAGATTTCAAGGCGAACCCATCGGTGGCGAAGAGGGCCTCCGAGGAGGCACGGAAAAGGGAAAAAAGGAGGAAGGGTGGAGGCTTCTCCGATCCTTATAGGTCGAGTCAGGTCGGGCATGTCCTCCTACGGTCGGATTTTGGGAAAAAGAAATCACAAGCCATACCAGATTCGTACATCATAGAACATAGCAGGAGCACCGTCCCCATACTATTCTTGGACTATTTTTGAATGTTCCTCCTGTGGAGGGAGACGCCCGACTGAAAGCTCGAGGGATGGATGGCAGTTGCTGTCAGAAATGCACCCTCTCTTAGAAGCGCGGTCCTTTCTATAGATGTAGTGCCGGCGCCTTCTAAGAAGCAGGTGCTTCTAAGAGCCTCCCCCCTCCCCTACCCCCCTCTGCGCGCCGCCAAAACAGTGGTGGAGCGCTCGTCAGAGCTACGGACCCACGGGGGGGCGCTCGTCCTTCGGGGGGGGGGGGGGCGCGCAGGCGCCTCTCGCATCGCGCAGGGGGATCGGGCAGAACAGCCCCCGCGGGGGCCCATGGGGAGGGGCCTTTGGGACGGGAGGGTGCACTGCAGCATCGTTGGTGCATGTTGGAGTTGCTCTGGAACTCGTCTGGTTTTCACGTTGGACAAGCGCTGGCTTGCCTGAGCCGTTCCTCGTCCTCCTCTTCTTCCTCCTCTTCTTCTTCCTCCTCCTCCTCCTCCTCCTCCTCCTCCTCCCCCTCCCCCCCATTCTCCTCCTCCTCCTCCTGTTCTTCTCCTTCCTCCTCCTCCTCCTCCTCCTCCTCCTCGTCCTCCTCCTCCTCCTCCTCCTCCTCCTCCTCCTTCTACACCTCCTCCTCCTCAGGCGGCGGCCGCGTGTCTCTGCCGCGCGTCGGGTGCACTTTGAATGGAGCCGGCGCAACCTCCCAACCCCAGGACCAGCACACCGGTCAGCGGTGGCTGGCCCCGGAGCCGAGGGGGTGCGCCAGCCAGGGCCTCTAGAGTCTGATACCTGGGAGCTTGTCCAACAGCGCGTCGCCCCCCTCGGGCCCAGGCCAGCCCCGGCTCCCCCGGCCCACTCCGCGAGCTCCCCGGCCTGCCTTCCGGCTACCGCGCTGGCGGGCCTGGCCAGCCGGGCTCCGCCGTCCCCGGGGCGCCCCCGGCGGCCAGCTTCCCGGGCAGCTCTTCCCGGGCAGCTCTGCGCCAGGCCGGCGAATTCGCTGGCTCGCGCCCGGCCTTCCGCCGCAGCTGCCCCTCCGGCGCCTCCCCAGCCGCGCGCGCCGCCCCAGCCTCCTGCGCTGCGCCCAGCGCCCCGCGCGCTCGGCCGCCCGCGTCGCCAGCAGCCCCCGCGCCGCCAGCCAGCAGGCAGCGCCCCTCGCGGTCGCCGCGCGCCGCAGCAGCTCCGGTCTGGCGCGCTCAGCTCAGCGCCCTGCTCGGGGCCCTCGCCAAGCCCAGTGCCGCGTGGCCGCGTGGCAGCGAGTACGGCGTCTGCCGCGTGGCGCTGCATGACGCACGCTGCCGAACGCCTGCTGCAGCCGGCGAATGGCCGCCGACCGCTTGACGTCCAGCGGAGGCGCCAGCAGGCGCACCAGGGCCAGGGCGTCCTCGCCCATCCGGCCGTGGTCCTCGATCAAGAACGGGACCATTTTGAGGCCGGGGTACCTCGCGCGCTTGTCGGTCTCCGCCGCCGCGGCCGCGATGCCAGCGCGCCGGGCTGAACCCCGCGCCAGCGCGTCCTGGGACAGTGCGCTGACGACCGTGAGGTCTACCCTGATGGGCACCGCCACCCGGTGGGCGTGAATGATGAGGTTCACCCGCGCTTCAGGCCGGCTGGCTGCCGCATGCGGCAAGACCACCTCCTCGTGGACAGTGCAGCCCACCTCCTCCTCCTCCTCCTCCTCCTCCTCCTCCTCCTCCTCCTCCTCCTCCTCCCCCTCCTCCCCCGCCTCCTCCTCCTCCTCCTCCTCGTATTCCTCCTCCCTCTCCTTCTCCTCCCCCTCCATTCCTTCTCCTTATAGATAACCCCTCCCTGTCGCACGCCGAGGCCAGATTTTAGGGCGGGCTGGGCGTTTCGCCTGAGACTTCCTCACCAATTTCGACTCTGAAGCTTGAAAAGGTGACAGCAATTTCACACATGGAGTGCGGGTTGTTTTCAACATGTGGCTCTCGCCTTAGCGCCGCGCACACTCGCTGTAAACAATCGCAAGAGTTTCACGGATTGAGGGCGGGTCGTTTTCAAAATGTGGCTCCCGCCTTAGCGCCGCGCGCATTCGCTTTTAACGGGTCGTTTTCAACAGATGGCTCTCGCCTTAGCGCCGCGCATATTCGCTTTTAAAACAATTGCAAGAGCTTCGCGGATTGAGGGCGGTTCCGTTTCAAAATGTGGCTCTCGCCTTAGCGCCGCGCACATTCGTCTTAAACATTGCAACAATTTCACAGAGGAAGGGCGGGCCGTTTTCAACAGATGGCTCTCACCTTAGCGCTGTGCACATTCGCTTTATTAGCATTTGCAAGAGCTTCACGGATTGAGGGCGGGTCGTTTTCAAAATGTGGCTCTCGCCTTAGTGCTGCGCGCATTCGCATAACACAAATTGCAAGAATTTCACGGATTGAGGGCGGTTCCTTTTCAAAATGTGGCTCTCGCCTTAGCGCCGCACGCATTCGTTTTAAAATTGCAAAAGTTTCATGGATCTCCATGATCAACGTGCCAGAAAAGGTGCTTTGGAAGGGTTCAGGATTATGCGGGTGCAACAGTTATGTTGACTCGCGGTGTTGAATTCCCAAAAATGGCGCTCCGGCACGATTCCAGATCGTCACGACGCAGCAGTCAGGTTGATCCGTGGCGTTGAAATCCAGAGAACAATTTTGTGGCATGCTTCAGGATCTTCAAACGGGTGTCTTCCAACGAGGCAATTGCCTCAATGGAAATGAACCGTTGTGGGGCCTATGACGAGGGAGCTTGGAGGGAGGGTTAATTCCAACATCGTTGATGACTCTTGGTTTTACACTGGTCCTCCTCCTCCTCCTCCTCCTGCTCCTCGTATGCTCCCTCGAGGGAGAGAGGCAACAAGGGAGGGGAGCCAACGGAACGTAACGACCATCGTGCAATCAGGGCGACTTGTCCAGGCCAGCTTCAAGCAACTTGGGACGGGACGGTGTGTTGCAGCATCGTTCATGTATCTGGGGGTGCTCTGGTCCTCCTCCTCCTCCTCCTCGGAGGCAGGGGATGGGGCGAGGCCCTTCCTCTCCCATGGCCAGGGGGGGGGGCAGGGGAAGAGGGGGGAGGGCGAGGGAAGCTTCCTGCAGGAGGCACGTGCCAGGCTTCCTGCCATCAGCAAGGGCTCCAGCGCAGACCCAAGCCCCCCACGATCCCCGTGGGCCCCTGGGCTGGAGCTTTCCGCTCTCCGCTGGCACATTCGTCGCGAAGCGCGCTTGCGAAGAACTTTCGACTTTGAACTGCGTCTCACGCCAGGCGCGTGGACGCATGCAACGTCTACTTACAACAAGCATCCACTCGCACCTGTTGTGCATGCTGCTGTGCACGGCTCAGAAGCATTCGCATCGAGGCGTTGGCGCAGCGGTACCAGCCCGTTGGGCATCCGACCAGTGCCTGCCGTACCAAGCTCGCTGCCCTTGGCTTTCGGGTCACAAATCGGCATTCCGGCGGCCGTTCGGGACGATCGGGGCACTCCCAGAACGCTCTTGGCGAGGCGCAACCACTGGAACGCATCCCGAGGTTGGAAAGCTGCCGGGAACCGACGAAAATGTCCGAAAACATCTGCGCCTATTACCCCCCGACGTTGCCACTAATGGGCGCCAGAAGCTGCCGAGAAGCTGCCGTCGTCGTCGCCCTCGCCCTCGCCGTCGCCGTCGCCGTCGCCGTCGCCGTCGCCGTCGCCGTCGCCGTCGCCGTCGCCGTCGTCGTCGTCGTCGCCGTCGTCGTCGTCGTCGTCGTCGTCGTCGTCGTCGTCGTCGTCGTCGTCGCCGTCGTCGCTGTCGCCGATCGCCGCCGAGGAGCGCCGAGCGGGCGGAGGGCGTGCGCCCGCTGGGCCGTCCTGCCCGGCTCGCCACCGCCGTCGCGCGCCGGGCCGGCCGCGGCGGCGTCGTGCGTGCGGCTCGCGGCGTTGTGATGGACGCGCTGGGCGCCTCGGTCGCTGGGGAGCTGGGCCGAACTGGCGCCCCCCCCCTCTTCTCGGGTTTCGTTCCTCCCGTTGCCCCTCCTCCTCTTCCTCCCCCTTCCCCTTCCCCTCCTCCTCCTCCTCCTCCTCCTCCTCCTCCTCCTCCTCCTCCTCCTCTGCATCCTCTTCACCCTCTTCATCCGCCCTCTCCTCCTCCTCCTCCTTCTCCTCTTCCTCCTCCTCCTCCTTCACCTCCCTCCTCCTCCTCCTCCTCCTCCTTCGGGGGCGCGCAGACATGGATTAGCGATCCATGGACTTGGGGCGCGGTCGCCAAATCCATGGATCGGGGGAGGGGCCCTCCCCAAAATGCGGCCCGTGCCGCCTCGCTCGGCGGCGGAAATGTGCGATTTCCCATGGAAACGGGACCCGTCGCTAATCCACGCCCCCTTGATCCATGTTTGCGATCCTCCTCCTCCTCCTCCTCCTCCTCCTCCTCCTTCCTCCTCTCCTCCTCCTCCTTCCGCCTCCTCCTTCTTTTCCTCCCCCCCTTCCCCCTCCTCCTCCTCCTCCTCCTCCTCCTCCTCCTCTCCTCCTCCTCCCTCCTTCTCCTCCTCTCTCCTCCTCCTCCTCCAGCACCAGCATCACCAGCAGACACCAGCAGCACCAGCAGTACCAGCAGCACAACACCACCGCCATCACCACCCACCACCACCGCCACCACCGCCACCACCACCCACCCACCCACCCACCCACCACCCACCCACCCACCCTCCCACCCACCACCACCCGCCCCCCACCCACCACCACCCACCCACCCACCCACCCACCCACCCACCCACCCACCCACCCACCCACCCACCCACCCACCCACCCACCACCCACCCCCCACCCACCACCACCCCACCCCCACCACCACCCACCCACCCACCCACCCACCCACCCACCCACCCACCACCCACCACCCACCACCCACCACCCACCACCCACCACCCCCACCCACCACCCACCACCCACCACCCACCACCCACCCACCGTCCACCACCGCCACACCACCATCACCACCACCACCACCACCACACCACCACCACCACCAACCACCACCACCACATCAGAGCCCCAGCCAACAACATGTAGCGCGCGAAACGGTCATAACGACTTGTTGAACACCCAATTAGGAAAAATGGGGGAACTGGACTTCGCCGGACAGGGCTTGCACACAGAGATTCTTGTTTTTGTTCCAAGGAGCTGGACCTGGGGGTCGCACTCTTCGCCGCCGCATGGGTCCACAGGCAGCCCTCACACTTCGCCCCCCCCCCGACGGCCGTGGGCGCTGCACGCCGCCGTCGCCGCCGCGTGGGAGCATCCCCCCAGGATCGCCGCCCCTCCCTCCTCCCGCCCCCTCCCACCTCACCCCCCCGCTCTTGCCCTGCCCCCCCCCCCCCCCGTCCCCCCATCCTTCGGACCTGGGTGCCGCAGTGTTCCCCGCCGTCACAGCCGCATCCTGGGAGTCCGCGCGGGGCCCTGGGCATTCCCCACATGCCGCGCCTCATCCCTTCCCCCCACCGGCCCAGGGCGCCGCCGCGTCGAGACCTGGGCACTTCCCGCACGTCGCGCGTCCCCCCATCCTTCGGCCCTGGGTACCTCAATTTTCGCCGCCGTCGCCGCCGCGTGGTGCCCTGAGCATTTTCCGAGGATTCCTGCACACTCAGACCGCAACAAGTGGTGGGTACTTCACAAACTGCACCCAAGACATTGCAACGCACAAGTCGCACCACATACGTTGTACCCCATTCGCTGGTTGCCCCCATATTAGATAGCACTGCGTGTGTTGCACAAAGTTACTGTTTGAGGTCCTCATGAGAAGCATTGTATTGCATCATGCGGAGGCGGTGTGCCATCTTTCATGCGTAGCATTGGAAAGGGGGAGGCATAAAAGGAGGAGGAGGAAAAGGAGGAGGACGAGGAGGAGGATTCTGACGATGATGAGGAGGAGGAGGAAGAGAGGTGATGATGATGAGGAGGAGAAGGAGGAAGAGAGAGAGAGAGAGATAATGAGAGAGAGAGAGGTGATGAGAAGGAGTGGGCAGGGACCGTACGCAGAGGCCTCCCCTTCCAGGA